GAAGGCCAGGCGCGGTGCTACTGGACATAACGAAGGCCTACCCTAGAGTGAACAGGGTCCTACTGTGGAAGATCCTTGAGAATCTGAGGATGCCGCACTCTGTACTAAAGATACTAAAAGGCCTACATGAACAAACTCAATATCGAGTAAAAGGACGCGAAGGCCTTAGTGAACCCTGGACTCCACAAAGAGGTCTAAGAGAGGGATGCGCCACGTCTCCGATATTGTTCAACGTTTACCACTCAGAAGCCATGAAGAGAGCGGCTGAAGAGAGAAAAAAACTAGCAGCCAGTAACAACCACGACTACGGTTTAGTGTGGTTGTGCAATCGAGGAAACAAACTCCCTCCTACGGACATAAATAAGGGTATCAAGAGTAGTACACGGGAAGAATATAGAATATCGGAGTCGCTCTTTGCCGATGACTCTACCCTTATAGGTTGGACTGACGAACTGGTACAAGGTAAAGAGGCTGTCAAGAAAGCTATGTACGAGTTCGAGGAAAGGTGCCACGACGGAAAAGAGGAGAGCGCTGCTTTTGGAACGCATGAGATGCGAAAGATAAAGATGCTGGGAACCCTAATAGGCAAGACCGAAGACCGTAACGCGCGGACTAAGCGAGGATCGCAAGCGTGGTTCAAAGTCAAGAAATGGTTGTGGAAGTCCACATTGTCAAAACGCACCAAAGCCCTGATTGTCCAGGGAGTCGTCGAGGCCTCATTACTTTTTGACTCCAATGTGAGATCATGGTCAGCAACCGACACGGACAAACTACAGAGTATAGCAGATCGATGCTACCGTTTTGTGTGGAATAATGGCAAGGCGGGCGCGCTACTACGGATGCAAAATGAAGGAATCAAAAGCTTCCAAATACGGAAGGATCTGGGAATTGAAAGCATCAGAACAAAAGTAGAGATACGAGCCCTCCAGAGACTCGGGCATGTTTTGCGAATGCCGGATTGCCGCTCCGTCAAGAAAATTGTACTCGGGAACTGGGCTGAACCCCAGACAAGCTCAGGCTACCTGAGGAATGGCCTCATTAGCTACTGGAAAAGAATGGTTCAGGAGGCAGGGGAAGACTGGACCAATGCAGGAAACCTAGCAAGCGACCGTATGAAATGGAAGAAATTCATACGAATGAGGCACCAATACCTACTGAAATGGGAGGAAGCAGTAGCGGAACATGGTAGGAAACAGGAGGTGGTAAATAGAAAGCAGCAGATACAGGATGATGGACTGACATGCAGGGTGGAGGGGTGCGGTAGAACCTGCAAAAGCAAATCGGGCAGAGCAACACACGAGAGACGCGGTCACCGCCAGGCGGGAAAAATATTCGAGTGCCCCGGATGCAAGCGAGCCTTTCCGGAAAAAGCCCAGCTCACCAACCACTACAAAACCTGCAAAAATCGTGACCAACAAAACGACGAAATCACAACCAACAAATACACAGGTCTCAGACCTAGAGTGAAGTGCCCAGGTTGCGGTACGCCTATCACATCGAACAACCTGACCAAGCATATGACGCGACACGGATGCCAAGATCTCCGAACCCAAGGCCCCAGGGCGTAAATGGGAAACAAGACAAGACAAGACTGTTGCGTTTAGATTGATCTTCAAGAAGTTCAAAGAACTAATGAATGAAAACAAACTAATGCGTACGCCCTTTAAGTACGAATTTAAAAAATTCATTTAATAGTTCGATAAGCTTCTTGACAAAATATCTAAACACAAGGAACCCAACGCTATGTCAATTCATCCTCATAGCATTAATAAGTAAGAATTTTCACGGAACGATTATTTCATTCAGCAAACAAGGTTTTCCCTATCGCTTTCTGTGCTATAGTTTTCTATTCCTTTTTAATACAAGTCTTCAGAGGATCATGTTAACTTGCTTTTCGGTTGTTTTGTCTTTATCATTCGTTTCAACGCAGTTGTAGTGTCATAAATTATTATCAGGGGTTGCACTCTGAGATAGCGATTCGCGCAGTCAACTGCAGCAGTCAGACACTTAACCTCATGGCTGTGCTGACAAACTTTAACAACCAAAAGACAAACTTAGCAGCCAGATTTCATGCAAATCGCAAATTACGAACTGAAAGGGTGGCGCTTTTCGATTTTTTGTGAAGGTGTGATCCGTGTGCAGAATTTGTTTTTTTTCGTGGTAAATTGGTCGCAATTCTCAATTTATTTACACAAATAAATACCGCTGAACCTTACTCACTTCACATAAAATCTGTATAAACCTTCTTCAATCTTGGTAGATTTCCAATCTTTTGTCTCCCACTCTATCTTCCCTGTGTTGAAGACGCTGAAAAGTTATTGCAACGCCTAACTCGGAGCCTGCTTCCTTTTCTTTTTCAATTTTTAGGCTTCAGTTTTCGGCGAGTAGAATTTCAGCGTCAGTTAAAAGTTATGCTCTTTTTGCTGTGGCTCAATATTTTCCGTATATGCTCCCTTTGTTGCAGTTATCTGACTAAATGAGGCGTTAATACTGGTCAGAAGCCGATTGATACAGGGAAATTGCGGTTCGGTATGTTTACTACTGTTTGGTATGTTTACTACATGAAGAAAACGTTCCTTATGTAGTTGCTAGTTAACATATAGTTGTTGCGGGATCAGATTGAATTCCAGAGCAGTCATCAATGAGAATACTAGGTAATTGTAAAAAAAAAACTTTTAACTAACTAGGTAAAATGCTTACCGACTTAAATTATCAAAATTTGGAAACTTGACAGGTACGTTTATTTTCTTACCAATCGCCTCGGCTGGTCAGCTTTCAATTGTACCATTTGCTGTAGAATAGACAAATTTCTCTTTTTCAATCGAGATAGGGGTAGTTTCTGATTTGGATAAAGGTTATTAAAAATGTTTGACCAGGCTATGTGACAATTGAGCTATATTTGTAATGTTCAGACTTACGCGCGTCCAAATACATTATAAAGTGTCATATCTTGTCTCTAGTAGCTAATTCGTAACAGCACTTCTCAACAAATGATGTCCTAGTTGTTATCTTACTAAATGATCTAGTAGCTGTACGTCAAGATATGTGAAATGTTCAAATCAATCGTACTTGACCATCGATTTGTCGAAACAAGTAATGCTTGACATATCGCATCTACCATCATATGTCAACTGGCTGCAGCTAATTCGAACTCCTAGCTGAACTCCTAATCATTATAGATGTCTTCGCATATATCAAGACACAAGCATAGCATTCCAATCTGTTGTCTCCCACTCAATCTCCCCTACATTGAAGAGTCTGAAAACTCAGACCCGTATTAACTATGTGAGGAGCTAATACGGGTCTCCAAAATCACTAATTATCTACAACATCATTGTCTCCAGCATCAGACAGCGGGTTCTTAAAGAAGGAGCAGCACAAACCAGCCCTATTGCTCTTCAAGAGCTTCGCTACTGGAATCATACTGGAAACAAGCCACTGACCTGAAGCCTCTAATGTGTGCAATCAACAAGAATTGCAGGCAATCAGACAGATAATTGAATCACCAAGTCGAGAAAAATTTCAAAATCATTTTTTTGGAATAGATGAAAAATTCTTTTTCCGAAAACAGTCGAGAAATGCAACTAAGCTTTTGCTACAGTTCGAGCTGCCATCATAAAAAAAACTTAGGTCGAATTAGTTTCAAAACTTTGCTCTTTTGCGCAACTGACTGAACTAATCCAAAATGTCATTATAAGCAGAAACCAGGAAGACCGATTGAAACTATCAAGTGAAAAAAACAGAAGCAGAGAAATATGCAAACAAAGTTTAAAAAAATTTATTACAGGAAAAAACTCTCTTCAAACTTCTAGAGTAATTTATGACTGACACTTCCTTGATAAAAATTAACTTAGTTTGAGAAAAACTGGACTAATAAGTAATGACTTATTAGTCCAGTTTTTCTCAATTTCGCTGGGAAATCTGAAAATAAAGTTCCAATTTTAAAACTAGAAGTCGATCACGTTTTTCATGATCTTAACAATTTCGCTGTTCGATAGTGGAGGTCGCCTTCCTTTTTACAAAGGAAATGAAATGCACTTGAAAAGAAATCAGAAGTCTAGCCGCGAAAAAGTAAATTTGAGCTTGAATGAAGGAAGATTTTTCCTGAAAAAAAAACAGAAAAAAAATACACCGCGACCTTTATAGGAGTCTGAACTACGTTCATCGACTCTCAAAATTCGCCTTATAAGCAGACAAGCAATAGTTCGACAATGCAACTTTTCACGGAACAATTTCAAAGGCATACATACTGATGAAAAAACAAGGTCCAACCGAGACTCAAGCCCCAGACCTCAGAATCCCAATGCAACCACATTTCCTCCATACCAAATGAAAAGCATGTTTGAAACTATTGAGGTTCAACACTACAGCTAGTTCGATTTCTTTCAAATTTGTAACCAAAAACTTTTTACGGGAAAAAAGTCAATCTTCCCATTACAAGACTCAAATCCGGTGTTAGTCAATCTGAATCCGGTGACTAGTCAATCTGAATCCGGTGACTAGTCAATCTGGTTAAGTTTGAGGACAAAAAGGCTAAACTCCTCGCTTGCTAGCTATTGTTTCGTATTAACTTGAATCTTTGGAAGCATACAAATTGATCAACTACTCAAAATCTCTTCAGTTTAACCAGCTCTCCGTCTGAAACTATAGAATAATCCATCCCTTGAACATTTTGGCCCTACAATCGATAAGTACTGTTCTACTAAACGAAATTTTTATTTCACTCTTTGAGTCATTCATGCACAAAGCATTGAATTTTGAGATGGACGAGACTTAGATCACGCACAGCACTAATGGACCGATTGATTTGTTGAAACTCACTCAAATAAACTTCTTCTTTGAAACTCGTCTAGTATTCTTTCTTTGATAGATTTTCGAAATTTTTGATAACTAGGGAAGACAGGAACTAAAAACAAGAGCAGAGCCATTCCATTTAGCATTCTGTCGAACATGCCAACGAATCAACAGCAAGAGAACCCTTAAACTTGTTCCAAACTTACCCTCTGCAGTCTGGTTGTTTTCCAATATAGCGCACATGACTCTCGTGGTTGCACACATTGTCGCATTCAGCATGTGCACATATTCCGTATCTTCATTCATTCTCTTTGTGAGTCCGAACCTGATTTTAAGCCTCCTTGCTTGATAGTCGAGACAGTTTGAACAAGATACCAGTTCCCGGTAAGCTTTTGAGCCGGCAAACCAGCCCTCCAAATCATACTTCTTTGCAGCCGCGTTGTTCAGCTCTCCGGAGACAATATTTACTACCCTGTATGGGATTTTCAACTTCTGGTAGAACGCTTCGGCCGTTGCTATCATTTCTTCCATCATTTCCCACGACTTTTCATCATGCGGGGAGGTGTAGCAAAACTGTTCGATCTTTTCGAACTGGTGAACTCTGAAAATTCCTCTCGTATCGCGACCATGGGACCCGACTTCCTGTCGGAAGCATGTAGAGAAACCAGCATACCTAATTGGAAGCTCATCCGCATTCAGCCACTCATTTCTATGGTAAGCCGCTATAGGTTGTTCAGAAGTTGCAATGAGATATTTCTCGTCGTATGATTTGTCTTCCTTCAGTTCCGAACCCTTCCCCACAACCTTGTACAGCTGGTCGTCGAAATCTGATAATTGTGCAACTTCTTTCATAATCTCTTTTCGCATGAAGAAAGGCGTGTATAGTGCTGTATAATCACGGTCCAGTAAGGACTGCAGCGCCAGTTGGATAAGAGCTTGCTCCAAAAACACTATGGGACCTTTGAGGAAATAGCCTCTGCTACCTGACACCGCAGCACCCCGATCTAAATCAACGCCATCAAGCATCAAAATCAAATCTACGTGGTTCAAGGGTTTGTCCGGATACAAGTTCTCCATGCTGTTTTTCAGCGACTCTTCCTCCTTGACTTCGGAGATGACTCCTTTTCCAGGCACGAATATCCTCTCAACTCTATTGTTGTTTTCGTCGTCGCTTACTGGCACTGATTTGTGCACAATGTTTCCAATCTCCCATAGAATTGAGTCTCTTTCAGAAAACAGTTTGTCCATCAGCTCTTTATTCTCCGCTATCTGTGAGGTTATGTACGTTGAGAGACTCTTCAGCTGAGATATTTCTAAAGTAGCGGCTAACTCCGAGTTGAGGTTGAGCAGGTCGCTTTTTATTGTTTCCGGAATCTCATCTGACTCTCCTTCTGCTTCCTTCAACACACACTCAGTATTAACACAGCACACCACTTTCGCATAATTCGAACCAACTACGAATGTTGCCCACAGACACGCAGACAGTAGCAAAGGAGCTGTCACTGCTCCATTTAAAATACAGCCATACAAAAAACTACTGCTTTTTAATACAAATAACTTTCCAGTTGAAAAAAAACACTTCTCTCAAATGGAAATCAATTTTAAGAGCAGCTGTCAAAAAACACGATTGTCAGCGTCAAATTAGCATTGAGACAAAATTAACCGTGCGTTAACTAAGCCGTCAAAACTTAGGTAGACGTAGCGAAGCCAACTTTTATGTCCTCCCAAAAACAAACGACCTAATATACGACAACTTAACCGACATAACAACAGCTGAAACCATTTGAGCCAAAGAAACCTTTAACTCAGAAATGGTAAAGAAGAGATGATACAAAACTATTGAAATCAGTTATCTATACCATTAGAACTGTTAGATATGTAATTCTTAAACAGTTTAAACAACATTGCTACGAAAACTAAGCGTACGAAAATAAGCTGACAAACAAAAATCCGAATACAGGATTTTGTAAGGTAGAAAAATTCCAGTTAAAGCAGCCAACCGATTCAAAAGTGCCACAAAAAGTAGCATTTTTCTTTGCTACTTAGGTTGGGAAAATAAGTTGCATCGTGCTTGAAACCAATTTAATGTTGATGCTTTTCTAATTCATCAATTGAACAGGAAAAATCTTTGTTTCATACAAGAGAATAATAAGTAAAACCCATTTAAAAAATTTTCCAACTTCCCCCATTTCAGAGATTTGTGAAATGCATAATTTATACGCAATTTGGTTTACAATAGTAAAAACTCAGGAAATAACATTGATTGCCGAGGAATCGATAAACGAAGCTTTCACAACCAAAGTTTCCATACCTAAAATTGCAATTTTAATATGACGACTGTTACTCGATCGCGTTTTTTGCTCGAATTTCGAATTTAGACTCAAATTCAAAAAAACTCAAACCCGTTTTTCTCGACACTGAGACACAGTTTTGAAAACATTTAATAGCGATCGAATCACGACTGAAATGACTTTATTGTGACATATCTATCATACAACATATCCAGATGATTATTAATGGTATCTGAATTTGCGAGGAAAAATGAAACACACCAGAACACAAAGTTCCTCTCTACTTTCAATGAGCGAAACAATAAGGTCAAAAATTTGAACAAGTTCGGCAAAATTATATGAAACACGACAAACACAACCAATAGAAATGTATTTCCAAACACACTTTTAACTCAAGAGCTATTTATGCCGGACCGTTACAACGAAAAAAATGATTGTGAAGGACGAAGATCAATTTTGAAAACAATTTCAAATGAATAAGAAAATCGACTTTTGCCACTAATTTTCAGCTCAGAACAACAATTTACATCTTGCACCATTGTCACGTTTATCGCGACGCTTGAGGTGACATTTTGCAAAACAAGGACACTCAGGAGCAGTGGCCCTTTTAAAGGGACGTTTATATAGTACATCAATTATCAAAACAAAAAAAAAAACATTTTAAAAATAAGGAAAGCATTTACAAACCGCTATTCAATGAGTTTAGAATAAAAAAAATGGTTGTTTTGCTCTTTTTAGAGTTTTGCTATTTCTTAGGAGCCACCCGCCACCAATAGTAAGACCACAGTAATAGTAAGACATCCGCAAACAAGGTCCCTCCCCAGTTTCAAAGGTCGGAACAAAACTATCTATCAAAAAACTTGAACGAGTGCGACAAAAATACCTGAAACAGGACTATTGAAACCAATAGAAAGATATTTCCAAACATACTCTTTACACAGAAGCGAAGCATCACTTGCGATACAACGCAAACCCTGCATTGCAGGCTAGCAAATAGAAAATTTGACGTAAAAGCAAAACCAAAGAAAATATACAACGAAAAGCTTTTAAATTACAACTGAAATGACTAAGTCAAAAACACTTGTATCTACGATGAAATTGATGACAGCACAAGAAAATTCCTGATATTGCATCAAAGCCGAAAAAGCATAAGCAAACAAACGAAAGTCCAATAACGCATTTTTCCCGGACAAAAAAATATCCATTTCAGACAAACTGAAAAAAACAAGGCCCGGCCGAGAGCCGAATCTCGCACTTTATGGTGCAAAGACATCTGCGTTACCTCTGGGCCATGCGGAAAAAGGTATCGAAGTTACTAAGGTTCACTAGTAAAGCAACTTCAAAATTTCTTAGAAATGTGTTAGAAAAGATGTTAACAGGAAAAACGTCTTGCTCCCGATTACAAGACACTTGCTCTCGCAAGTGTAATAAGTGTTAATTATGCTAGACAATCGCTACACAGTGAAAGATTCTGAAAGATAAAATTCAATTTTGAAAAACGTTACCATTAATAAAATAAATTGACCAACACTTGCAAATTATTTTTGCAGATCAGAAAAACAACTATTTACATCCCGGACGGACCAGCAGCACATTTATCCTGACGTTCAACTAGAATAACAATCACAAAAACTAAATAAGCAAATGATTAAGAAACTAGGAATGGATCGGAAGACCGCTGGTCATTCATTTGAGTTTAGAACGAACTAAAAATGATTGCTTCCGCTTTCATTACAGCTTAATGGGGGTATTTCCCAAATAAGACCCCATATTAAAATCGCAGAATGGTGGAAGATATAATTTTTGTTACTATGCGGTTGTATATAATGGGAAAAACCCCTAAGTGGATTTTAGATCAGATGATAAACAGAGGAAAAACTAGTCCTTTTAAAAGAGCCTTATTTTAATTTGTAATCATGATCACATGGCAAAAAACCATACCTTATTTTTTTTCTTTGAGCCAATTGCCTTGCTGCAGATATTTCTAGCCGCGTTTAGTTTATCACCAACAAATCTTTTGTTTCTCCATTGTTTATCTTTTTCAATAACCTGCTCCACGGCTTCGATGCTAGAATAACGAGCTTTCTGGCTTTCCCTAACTACATCCGGGTTTCCGCCAGTCTCGAGCCTGAATGAGGCTATGTCGAGTACCATCTTAAATTCCAAAAAACTGAAACATTCAATAGTTTGATGAAATCAAGTTTTTTATTCTTTCTTGATTAAATAATCAGCTCAAAATTATCAAGCTCACAACAATTATCAAGCTTACAAGTAAAAAATTTCGTCTAAAGTTATTTTGTCATTTATTGTTCCGTGTACGCAAGCGGCGTTCGCAATCTGTATTGCCAGGGAGATTCTCTGTTTTAAAAAGCTGCCTGCTCTGGGTTCCTCAGTGCATATGCTTAGGTTCTTACAAAGCTTGCTCAAAAAAACTTCAGGTCGCGCCCTGAATTTCAAAAGCTAGCGGTTGAAAAAGATATCCATCATTTACAAGATCTTTATACTTGTCAATTTTTCGCTCTTCCGCTTCAGCGGCAGCCGTACCAGGGTTACAAACAGACCCGGCATTAATCCTACAAGGAGCTAAGGAGTCTACTACCATTACATCCCACAAGAGCTGCTTACCATCAGCCCATGGAACAAGCGTCAAACCGTCTGGTCGCTTCTGATCGGCCCTGTAGAGGTGTCGTGGTTCTAAAACAGACGGAATGTGAGTAGATGATATACTCTGCTTTATAAGGGCATTCAGGTTTGAATACCTAGAGAATCTCCCTGGACTTTTGAGGCAAGAAAGACCATGCCAACCATCCTCGGTAACGTCTTTACCGCACACGCATTTATGCCGTTCGCATATTTTTGATCCTATTCGAAGTCCTATCGCAATTCTGATTTGTTGGTTCGACAGTTTTAACCTTAAATTTTTGCACGGGATGACGTTCAACCATTGGGAGCCAAATCTATCTTGGAACGCGTTGAACCTTTTTACGTCCGTTGGTTCGAGTCGTAAAATCAAGTCTGCAATTTCGCTGTCAAAAAATTGGCTCCGTCAAATTTTTTTGGATTTCATTTTCCGGAACCATTTCAATTTTCCCAAGGTCAAACCACCGCTTAAGCGCATCAGCATAGGTTCCATCCACATGCTACAAACCAAAGATTTCGCTCAAGGCATCTTTCGCTCCTACTGCTGAGGCTAAGAAAGCGGGTAAAGGGAGTAGACGAGCGGAAGAAACGCCCAAGCCACCTTTGGCTGCCGGGAGAACTGCTTGTAAAAATTGGTTATCATCCATTTTCACGTTAGTGACCTTGCTTAACGAATTTCTTAGTAATTTATCGTAGCGTTCCAAAAAATCATTTTGCAAAAAACAAGGGCTCGTACGCAAAAAATGTAGGAGTTTTGGCATGCTAAAGCAATTTTTCAGGAGATAAAAACCATAATGGGCGTCTAGTTTGTCAATGACATCCGAGATTTTTTCAAGCTCCTTAATTTTTTTGTCGAGAAATTCTTTTCGGCAAAGTTCGCCGATTGGAGATCCTAAAATGAGGAGTTCTTCTTTTGTTTTTATTTTATTTTGGGTCATATTATTCGAAATTGTGTTAAAATTGAATTATACTGTGTACTAGTAGTCGGTCCCAAAAGACAAAGTTCACACTTCTCAGTGTTTAAGCTCAGGCCGTAAATTTGTTCCGATTTCAGAATTTTTATAAGGTCCCGGAGTACTACCTTATAGTCGTCGGCTAAATTCCCATCATCTAAATACCAGATGTTAATTTTCGACTCCAACTGTTTGACTAGTGTATGAATTGTTTCCGCAAAAAGGGGTGGGGCTTCAGGATCACCTTGCTGAGTTCCGTCTTCTGACACTATGACAGAGCTTCCGTAAAAGAGATAACTAGGTTTACCATACGCGCAATGGGTGTAATTATACAATTCGGGGCGATTTGAATAAACATGATTCAGCATTGTTTCTCTGTTTAAAGAGTTAAAGGCACTCTTAAAATCTAGTTTTATTAGAAGAGTGCATTTTGGATTGTCGTCGCGTTCAATTAGGTTTCGAAACGAGTGCGCAGCTGTTTCTGCTCCTCGTTTGGTACCGCATCCTACCTGTACGTTTCCGAAAAATTTTGTCGCTCGGAAAGGGCCTTGCTTCCAGCGCATTTAGACGCGATACGTCTCAGCGTGTTGCCTATGGCAATCGGTCTCAACCCTCCGTCTATCTTTATGAGGGCGATAAGCTTTGCGCCAAAAAAGAAAGGTCTTAGTGGTTCGGGTATTTTGCCATCTCCAATGAGGTTTATCAGCTTACTAAGCGATTTCAGAAAATTAAGTCCTGCACTGCCATTCGACTTACTAACAAGATCTTTAAAAATTTGAGGAACTATTTTATCAGGACCTGCTGCTGATCCGTTTGGAAAGGACATTATCGCTTTGTATAGGGCGAAATCGGTTACGAAAAAACTATCCAACTTTTCTGGATTTGGAGCTGCAAATTTGGCTCGCTGCGGGTGCTTAGACAACAATTTTTGATAGTTATTAGTTGAAAAAGCAGCTATTTTGTCATCCGAAGCAGCAAACCTTATTCCTCCCTTTACATTTCCTTCATCGAGCTGATTACTTCTAAGCTTTATTCTCTGCTCGAGGTCATTCGGAGGCGGGCTTGAAACTTGAGGATGGGGTTTTGGAAAGGACATGTCATTTGCTCGAATTTTTTTATTTATCAAAGAACTCATGCTTGTGGTCTGTTTGCGTCCACTTCTTTTCTGTTAATTGTTGCTTTATTAACAGATTTTACATCAACGCATAAAGGACACTGAAACCATTGGGTTTTCTTAGAGTCGCTAAGAGAAATATTTACACAACTGATATGATACCAACTAGAACAACAATCACATCTAATCCAATTTATCAGTCCTGAAGGTTTTAAGCAATCTTTGCTTGTACACTCTTTGTTGTTTTTCCTCATCTTGACGCAGCATAAAGGTAAAAAAAAGGATTTTGACTGGATTTTAGGGGACTGAATTAACCCATGATAAGCAGTTAGTGGGATTTTTACAAATCAGCAAATAAAAAAAAGGCAACAAAATTAATTTAATTTTTAAAATCGAATTATAAAAATCAAAAACAAGTAACAATCTCAGCCGAGCTCAGTAGGTCCAGCGGCGCACCACCAGACTCCTCAAGCCAGTTCCAGTTTCCCACCTCCCCACAGAAAGCCACTTGACAGACCTGTCTCTAAAATCCCTCAGAGGGCGCTCCATATACAGGCACAAACATCAAACATAACAAATCTATTTAATAACTTTATCACAACAATTAGGCTAAGTAAAGAGAAATCGACTTAAATTTCCATGAAACCATAGCAATCTAAGGAGAGCTATTGAAGGCAAAAAATGTGAGCGAAACACCAGCAGAACATTCACCATGTAACATTCGCCCGGAAGATACATATCGACGGAAAATAAAACTAAGTCCTAAGACGACTGCCCAACGTCCAAACAGAGCTTTACATGCTTTTAACCGTCTCTACCAAGCCAGTACTTTCGGTGGTCTTTCTAACATCGGGTTACTGCTTTCGGCTTCGGTCAAAACACTCAAATTGACTAGATTACATGCAGAAATATTGCGCTCATGGCTGGGTCTCAGTATCCCCAGACCACGAGGTCACTCCTAAAATCAGGGCGACTACTATTTATTGAATTGTTATTGTTTTTGTTCAGTAGTAAAAATTATCATCTTCATCGAAGATGGATCAACCCTTTCCCCCAATTCCTAGCTTCTCATTCTTGCAAAATTAATTCAGATGTTAATTAAATAATAAAAATTCAGGACATAATAGGGAAGCTAAAAGTTTGTATAAAATGATATAAGTTCCAGTCCCGAGACTCCTCCGGATTCTTGAATCCGGGGAAATAAGACTCTTATTCTCCTTCCGGAAGGCTGTCTTCCACCCTTCACCGTTGTTCGCAACGGCCTTGCAACTATTGTAACGACACAATAATTGCAACTCGGATTGGTCTCTGCTAACTCTGCAATTTGTTGTTGTTTTCCAATCACAATTTTCGTCATTATCGCTATCGCAATTAATGTTGTTGTGTTTTTCTCCGGTTTTCTTATCAAAATGGCCGTTTTTGACGTTTCCTAGAATTGTTACGTCATCAAATCGAATTTTTAAAATTTAGGAATTTCCGCATACTTCAGTCTTCACGATTAGTCCAATCGTTCGAATAACGCTCTTATTCCTTCAAAATCGCCAATTCGGATGGTTCGCTGCTAAAAACTCGAATGTGCTGAATCTGCATTTTGGTCCACTCTGGTCGAATGTCACATACTCCCAGGACAGTCCGGTCAATGTCCTCATTGAATCTCGCAATGCTCGTAAAATTGGTACAGTGTCATCGAACAGAATTTACAAAATGCACGAAATTACTTTTATCCACGTCATATCGACTCACCGCAGAATATAAATGGCATCATACTACATCACTATAGCCTTCAAATTCTTTCATTAATCTGCACATTGAGGATATGACCTAAGATAAAAACATCTTTTCCGACTTCCAATGTCAATGAAACTTTTTCTCCTAGATTTTTAAAAGATGTTGGATTGCAGGACAGTCCTGCCAACCAACAAGCTAAAATTATCCTACTATGCTTCTTCCCTTCGGAAAACTTGCTTGTTATTGTCCTGAATATTAAAACTGAGAAACTCTGTGATTAGAAAGAACAATGAAAGAATCCCCCTCTTCGAGAGATTACCCAAGCCTTTCATATCACCACAAAGTGATCAGTTCTCCTAGTTGATTAAAAACAGTCATGCAGGCTGGAATATTTAAATATACTCTTTACTCAAGCCTTTCTAAATAAATAATAAGTGTCTCTAAAGCCACTTAACTAAAAATCAAAATGCAAATTTATAAATGCAACAAATTCTTTAATGTTCAAAACTCAACTAAATATTTCAGTTTTCAATTACAACTTGGTTGCTTGGTTTCTCATTTGAGTTTTTTCCCACACCTAAAACAATTTTGAGTTTTAACTTCTTCTTCTTCCACATTTCTTTGTTTTTTTCTCTTTTCGTCGTTTAGAAGTTCTAAAACTTCTAAATTCTTCTAACTTTCCTTATTTTTGCAGCTTGTTCTTTCGACCATTCTTCAATGTTCCATCTCTTCCTC